AAATTGAACTTGGGAACTTATTTGCTTGAGTTAGTTATTTCTTTCTTCCTTGTTTTATTTATTTCCTTTCTTTTTCATTTCTGTTTTGTGTAGGGAAACTAAATTGGATCATTCAATCACCAATCCCTGTGGAATCGACCTCGCACTTACATACGCTAAACTACCAACGGCTCGTGCACTTGCGAGTATCACAAGTTGAGGATGCAGCTTAATCCATTTTGGTGCAGCTGTATCTACACAACAGTTGCAGTGTCTTTGAAATGGCCTGCCGCACCGATCAGAGAAGTGGAAGCAATCGAGAGGGTGCGAGTGAAGATTGCCGAAGAAGATCGCTTTTTTAAGGAGCTGCTCTATTTTCGGAATCTATTCAAGGCTGGTCTGATCGGTAGGGTCGAACACGATCGGAAAGTGAAGGAAGAGGAGGAAGAAGAAAAAAGGCAGAGTAAGTGATACCGTTCGGCTGGTTTAACTTGTATCTTTTTTTGCTTAGCTACCGTTTCCTTATTGACTTCGTGTGTTTTGCAGTGGCAGGAGGGAGGCCTATGAGCGAGGCGACAATGAGGCGTCTGGAGGGGCAAGGGGCGCCGAAGCCAAAGAAGGTTCAGTCCCCTAGGCTGAAGAAGAAGACGGCAGGAGGTGCTGGAGGGGCTTCGGCGGATGAGCAAACGGTGGCTGATCGCCGCCGGGAGAAGAGGGCGGCCGAAGCGGAGACCGTTCAGGGGGTTCATCTCCAGATGACGGGAAAGAGGATGATCGAGGGGGCCCTCGATGCGACGCCTATGCCGAAGCGGCCAAGGGGGCCTAATGAAGGGACATCGGTGCTGATTCCTGATGACGAATGAGAAGGGGAGGAGGGGCCGGTGAATATTGCGTGTCCTCGGAAGGCGGTGCCGTTCATCAACTGCATGATCGACGGCGCCCAGATGGAGCTCCCGGAGTTAGAGCAACTGTCGACAAAGACGTTGCGTGAGCAAACCGGTCGGGCTTTCCGGCTTCAGGCAGCGGTAAGTGTAGAATTTGTGGTTCCAAGTGCATGTCGATTCGGCATGAATTAACGTTTTCGTTTATGTGGCAGGCTAATATGGAAATGTGGCTGTGCGCGAAACGAGCTGTCAATGCTGCCGAACGGCATTAGAAGAAGTTCGAAGAGAGCCGGTCGAAAATCGCTGATGCTGGGAAGATGCTCCAGGAGGCTGATCGGCGTGTCGAGGATAATGCGGCTAAAATTGCCGAGCTTGCGTCGAAGCTGGCGGCGACCGAGCTGGAGGTGGTCGCTGCCCATGAGGCCAAAGTAGCAGTGGAGGTGGCAATGGACGCTGCCGAACGGTCGCATGCCCGGGAGCTGGAAGAGGCGAAGGCGAAAGCCGTTGCTGACTACCGATCGTCGGAGGGGTTCACGCTTCTGGTGGATAAAGAAGTCATGGAGCAATGTGATGACTTTCTCTACCGATTCAAACGGTACAATGCTGACAAGAAGATGAACCTGAACTTCCTCCGGGATCCACCACCGCTGCCAGAAGGGGTGACCGAAGAGATGGTGGAGGCTTACAAGGGCGAAGATGCCGAGGCCGAGGAAACCGATGACACCGAATCCAGTAGTGAGGAGGAAGGGAACCTCCCTGCGCCGAACGCAAGCAGTGTGCCGAATGCCGAAGCCTCGACCAATGCCGAGGAATCGCCGGGAATCGGTCATAGCTTTGTGCCGAAGGCTTATCGGCTGTTGCAGCTTTGCTTGGTAGGGCCGAAGCCAACCCCTTGGAGTTGAAATGTTCGGCCTTGGCGTGGATGGCTGCCTGCTTCATTAATTCGGAGTAGGTGGTCCAGTTGCTGATGTGGACGAGATAGCGAAACTGAGACGACCGAATGCCGCTTTTGAAGGCACCGAAGGCTGCCCTATCGTCAGTCTCGGGACATCGGGAATATTCATGGCTGAACCTAGCTGCATATTCTCGTAATGGCTCATCGTCTTGCTGCCGAACGGTATAGAGGTCATCGGCAGAGTACAGCCGATCGGTCTGAATCATGAAATGGTTGAGGAAGGTTTGCTTCAACTGATCAAAAGAGTCAACCGTACCTGGCTCCATTCGGTAGAACCAATTCAGAGCAGCTCCGGTCAGGGTGGAGGGGAATAGTAAACATTGTCCTTCATCCGTCAGTCCTTTGCAACCCAAAGCCGATTGAAAGGTATGAATGTGAGTAACGGGATCTTCCACCCCTGAGTAGAACGATATCTGGAGTGCTTGGACCTCTTTCTCGTGTCTGAATGTTCGGATTCGATTCGTGAACGGCCCTGGCTGTACCGTTCCCCACGTCGGTGTCCGAGCCTGGTTCTGTTCCTCCTCGATACGATTCATCTTCTGTAAAAGGAGACGAATGGTCGGATCAGTGGAGGGAAGATCGTTACCAAAGGGTTCGGTCGCTCGGTTCCCTGTGTGTTGGCCAGCGTTGCGGCCTCGTCCTTCTTGGTCTGCCGTTCGGCTGGGACTTTTCTCGTAGCGTCTGCTATGCCGATCGTTATCCTGATCCACTCGATGGCGCTCCCTTGACCGCCCCGCCGATCGGCGGGG